TTATTGACCTTTGGGTTAATACTAATATGTCTCGACTTGATCAAGATGTCCATGTTATTCCAATGGAAAGTGTTTTTCGACGTTTTCATTCAGATCAACGCTTTGGTTTATCAACAGCTTTTGTGCATGATGCTCAACTACATTATGGTACCAATCAGATTACACCACCTCGATCACAGAATTATTTTTGGTTGTTATTTCAACAATTATTCATGGGTTTTAATTCAATTCTTTGGCTTGGTGGTATTCTTGCTCTTATTGCCTACCAACCACTTGGTGGATCGAATCCATCAATTACAAATTTAGGTCTTGGCATTGTACTTTTCCTAGTCATTATTTGCAATGCGTCTCTCAATATATATCAAAAACTCAAATCGATTAAAATAATAGCATCATTTTCAAAATTATCACCAACAACTGCTACTGTTCGACGTGAGGGTGTTGAACAACAGATTCCTACGAATGAACTCGTTCCAGGTGATATTATTCTAATACAAATGGGTGATGTATTACCAGCTGATTGTCGATTTTTAACTTGTGAAGGACTCAAAGTAAATTTTACATTCTTTATTTTACCTTTGTTTTAATTTTGCACATAAATTTAGATTAATTCAGCAGAATTAACTGGCGAAACAAAACCTATTACAGTCACAGTTCATTGCACAAGTCAAATTTTAATGGAATCAACTAATATTGGATTTTATTCTTCATTTGTTGAACAAGGTATGGGTGAAGCAATAGTTATTGCAACTGGTGACAATACTATTTTGGGTAAAATGTCAGGAACAACAACAAAAGATAATTCTAGTAATGAAATTACTAATCTACATCGTGAAGTGAATCGTTTTGTTTTATTTGTTCTTGTGGCTGATATCATCAGTATTTTTATTCTTTGGATTACTTGGTTAGGATGGCTTAACCATTCTCATCCAACTTTTATTACTTTAACTGGAAATATCCTTAATTCAATTGGAATGATCGTTAGTTTCTTACCTGTAGGTTTACCATCGGCTATCACTCTTGGTAAGTAACATAGAGTAATGAACACATGTTATAGCTCGTTCGCTTTTTCTATTTGTAGTATTGGTAATAGTGGCTAAACGAATGAGTCAACAGCGAATATTAGGAAAAAGTTTACAAATTGTTGAAAGTTTTAATTCTGTTTCAGTAATTACTACAGATAAAACAGGCACATTGACCAAGAATAAATTAGTTGTGAGCGACATATTTTGGGACACGGACAAGGAATACAAAATAATTGGACATGAAGAAGACACATCATACACAATTCGTCGATTATCTGTCGGATCTCTTCATATTCCTCGGCATCCGACAGCAAAAATATCTCCAGCTGTGGAAAGATCATCAGTCGCCTTGAATAATCAAGAAAATAGATCACGAGCAGAAGTATTTGATGATTTAATTCTTGGTGCTGCTTTATGTAATAATGCTAAAACACGTCTCGTCAAAGATATACAACACAAGCATAATATAATAAAAATTAATCCAGAAATACATGTTATAGGTGATTCTGTGGATATCGCTCTCTACAATTTATGTGTCTATGAATTTCGTATGGAAATTGATGAAATATGCTGTTTAAATCCACGTTTAAGAAGTTTACCATTCAATTCAGAAAATAAATTTATGATTACAGCGAATCGACTTGAATCGAAGCGAGACACAATTTTGATGACAATGAAAGGTGCGCCAGAAGTTATTATTCAATACTGTTCATCATATAAGAGTAATGATGGTCAAATTTTGCCATTAACAATTGAAATCAAACAGAAACTTCTTTATCGACAAGAAATGTTAAGTAAAAATGGTTATCGTGTCATTGCCATGAGTCAGCAAAAGTTGACAAAGATGCGATATGATCAATTAATCCAACGATATGAACAAAGACAACGTTCTGGCATTATCTTTAACCAAGATTTAAATGGATTTTCAACAGAAAACTATTGTTTCCTTGGTTTTTTCTCCTTATTCGATTCACCTCGATTCGATGTACCAGATTCAATACTCAAAATACGTCAGGCACACATTCGTATAGCAATGATTACTGGTGATCATCCGACTACAGCAACAGCTGTTGCTCAACAAGTGAATATCTTCTCTGATGAAATTTCCAAAAGAAATGGCATTGATACATTTCAAATTGAAGAAAATGACAATAATCATTCAGTTTTTCGATTATATCGTAATGAAACCTTATTGCAAGAACATACGCGTGGTATAATAACACCATTTCATTTTGGATCTAAAGCAACGACAACAATAGAAAAACAACCATCATGGTACACACGATGGTATTCATTATGTAGAGCTCAATTTAGTGAACCAAAACCAATTTTCTATAAAGAAAAAGAGAAAGAAAAGATTCCTTATGCACTTGTGGTAAGGCTTTTTATTTATTTTAGTATGATGTTCAATGAATATATATATTAGATGACTGGTTCTCAGATTGGTTATATGGATGATTTCATGTGGAATTGGGTCTTATCCCATCAAGAATTAGTTTTCGCTCGAACATCGCCGGAACAGAAGTTGCACATCATCATGGAATTTCAGCGACGAGGAGAAACAGTTGCAGCTATTGGTGATGGAACAAACGATGCACCATCATTGAAATATGCTGATCTTGGTATTGCCATGCAATCGGGTACAAATGTATCAAAAGAAGCGAGCGATATGATTCTACTTGATAATAATTTTTCATCGCTTATTTCAGCTATTGAAACAGGTCGTCTTCTAGCTGATAACTTGAAAAAAGTTGTGATCTATTTATTACCCGCAGGTACAGATTTCTTTCACACAAATTGTAAATAATATTGAGTTTCTATTAATTTATCAGGTTCTTGGTCAGAATTATGGCCGATTATGTTTAACATGTGGTTTGGTATTCCTTTATCGCTTTCAGCATTCTTAGCAACAATTCTTTGTGTACTAAATGGTAACTATTGATTGATGTTTTTGAAGTTAAGTTTTTATTCGGTTGATTTAGATTTAACTATTTCATTAGCCATGGCTACAGAAAAGCCTGAAACTGAGATTTTGTCTCGACCTCCATCAAAGCAGAAGAACGGCCATCTACTTAATATCAAATTACTTACTCATGCTTATCTATTTATAGGTAATCTAGAATGTTTTACTGCATTTTTCTGTTTTTGTTACTATTGGATTGATAATGGAATATCATTTTATTCATTTATGTTTACCTACGAGTACTTTGGTGAAAATCTACCTATAGCTTATAATCGACAAGACATAAATCAGATGATCAATGTTTCACAATCAGTGTATTATTGTTCATTATGTATATTTCAAATTTTCAATTACTTTTCTACACGAACAAGATATGCATCAATTTTTCAACATAATCCATTTTGGGGTCAAAATCGAAATTGGTTTGCATTAGGAGCTATAATGATTTCAATCATTGTTCAATTGATTTTCACACAAGTGACTTGGCTTAATGAAATATTTGATACAGCTCCTGTACCTGCAAAATATGTGATGCCAACAATTGGATTTGGCATAGGTTGGCTAGTCATTGATGAACTTCGAAAACTTTGTGTTCGTAAATTTCCTCATAGTATTATTGCCAGAATTGCCTGGTAAAGCGTGCATCTACAGTGTTGTTTCTTCTTGCTTAAGTCTGTAACCGTCACATAATCGAAGTATTCTTTGTTGTTGTTGTGATTTTATTCAATAAACTATTATTCGTTTAAACATCAATTATTTAATTTATGGCAGCAGGTGATGATGAGTGATAGCTTTCTACACCGGACCAGCCGATCTTCATTGGTTTTTATAATTTCAATAATCAAGGGATATGATCATGGAAGTTTCCAACTAATACATTTTCACTCACTGTTGAAACTATTTTGAGATGAGAGCTTCAGAGCATGTTGGATGACTTTTTCTATGCTCACGAAAAATTAGTGAGGTATTACAAATTAATATCGCTTGAAACTATAGATGAGGGTGGGTGGATGTGGGTATTCGATCCATTCAACGCCACCACCCACACCTACACCCTTGATTCTTATAGATTTTTCATCAATAACTGACTCAATCTTATTCTTAATCAATACCGATACAGAGGTGAAACCAAACGGACTTTTTGCATCCGGTCCTATAAAAACCATATCATAGCGTGTTTGCTAAGGTAGTAACAAGAAACAATCCTCTTAACAGTAAATAAGTGGTAAAACTAACGAGAAGTACAATGTATGTCCTTTTTTCTCATCTAAAACTTATGACAACCGCTGATATAGTATTTCAAACTAAAATAAGCGAATAAAAGTCATTTTTATCAGAAACCGATAAAATCCGCTCTCGCTCAGATCAGTTCTAACTCTCTACTGATACTAAAACACTGATTACAACAATAACATTTTAGCTAATTCTGTGTTGATAAAAAGACCCTAATAAATGATTTGAATATCAGCTCATCGGTTCAAATATATGGATGCAAATGTATGTGAAAATGATGAGAGGAACGATATCCATATACATCTATTGATATTGCATGAAAATACTCATTAATAAACATGACAACCATTACTGTTCTTTCACATAATTACGATTGTGTTTTTATTTATTCCAATATTTTTTAAACTTTCTTTTACTTAATAATTTTCCTCCTTTGCTTTTAAACAAGTAAAGAATATTTATTTCAGGTCGGTGGTATTTAAAAAGTATATTTTTAATAGTGTCATAAATAAGCATGTTTAAGTAATGAAGAACAGAATAAATATGAATAGTGATAATAGTAGCACTTTCAAAATGTTTATTAACATAGAGAATCGAAAGAAATTAAGAAAAAAAGACCCTTTTTTCATTCCATTGTCGATCGTTAATAGAGACTATGAAAAATGAATCCATTGTCTTCATCGACGACATTGATCAAACAGAAGATAATATGAACATATGAATAGTGATATATTGACATTGACAAGTAAAGAATCGTTTAGATATATCATTCAATAAATATGAACCATTCAATTGTTCAATTGAATGATTTACCCGATGAGATTCTCATGATGATTTTGAAAAAATTATGGAATATTAGAGTACTCTATTCTCTAATAGGTATTAATAAAAAATTGGATAGAATTGCATGTGATCCAGCTTTTACAAGATATTTATCATTGGTGAATCGATCATCGAACAATTCAGTCGCTCCATTAACGAATGAAGTCTTAAATCGGTTTTGTTCACAAATTCTACCTAAAATTCATCATCATATTCGACGACTTGATCTAGAATCATCAACAATGGAACGTATACTTTCTACAACAAACTATCCTAATTTACATCAACTTGGCCTATTTAATCTTCGTGCAAAAACAGCTGCATCTCTTTTCACAAGTAAGACATTAATTGCTGTTAAATATTGAATACGATTATACTTGTTTCATTAAATTTCTTTCAAGACAAAATAATATTCGAATGGATGAATATTTTTTACTAAATATCTATTAGAAGAAGAATTAAATCTAAAGATTAACAATGAAAAAAAGACTAGAATAAGTATAATAAGAAATCTTACTAAACATTGTTAGAATCTTTTGAAATGTTGTCGTCTTTCAAAATTTATTCATATTATTTGATTTGTAGAACCAAGATAGATTGCCTATATTGGAACGATTGAAAAATACAAGATAATGAATTCATTGATTTAATGATCAAACTTAAGAGTTGATAAAGATTTTCTTTTTATTGACTTGCGATATCTTTTTAGACCAATCCTGTTCAACTCATATAGATGCAAACCAAATCGATTTACTTGTTATCGACATCGATCAATATGAAGACAGTTGTAGATATTTAGACGTCAATTGATTTATATTTATGTGGAAAAAATATTATCATGTCATTTTAATAGGTTACTATATGATAATCTTCGGTGAAATACATTTTATATTAATGTTGAAAACCAAAAATAAATATCATTTAATACACTCGGAGAGTGACTAGAACTTTGAATAACGACTATTCTGTATTTAATAAGCACGTGTTGCATAATGAATGTAATGGTAAAGGTGAAAGTGTGAGGATTTGTATGTAGAAATATTGTATGAATATATAATAAAGTTTGATACATAATGACCCGTTTTTTTTGTGTCAATAAATAATTAGTTTGTAACTACGAAGAAGAATATCGATGTATTTGATAATACGGTATTATTTAAATATCTGTTTTCATAATTATGAGTTTCTATATAAACATTCTAAATTCTTTCAATGCAATGAACTACAGATTATTTTTACTAGATAATACAAAGGTTTATCATATACAAAATACGACAGTTTATAACTAAACATACCATATATCTATTCTAGTAAAAATACTTGTATTTCTCAAACTTAAGTAAGATTATATAATTTGTTCTAGTCGAAGAATCGCTTATCAATATTTTACGCTTGTTTAAACACATCAACGTATTTTGACATAGACTTATGACGATAAAAAAAAATTTCTATAGATATTATCAAGAAAATTTATGAAACATAATATAAACGTAATTACATTGGAAAAATCAGTCATGTAAGATGTGTATCTTCATATAAATGTCTATTAAATATTTGTACGTAAATGACAATGTATGTGTTCGTACGTGGATCTATACTATTTTGAAAAAGACAAAAATATCATATCCAAGATTCAGTTGCATTAATCTTGTCAATCTAATCTAAAACAAGGTGAATTTGACTCAGAGTTAATTTCAAAGTTAATCGCAAAGGATAAATAGGGTCATTTCATTCTTACTAATAAATGTAGCTAGCGTACAAATTTGTTTTTTCAGTATTTTTCTATACTTTTCTTGTTATGGTTCGTTGAATAAAATCCATGTATATGTTTTGCGTTGGTGTAAATACTCAGGTATATCTACAATGACAAATGAAAACATTATCACATATTTTTACTCATTTCCTCTCCATCTAAAGACAATTAGAAACACTTTTTTTCAAATATGGACAATAATGTACGCCAGATCGAACGATCAATGTTTCGTACATGGTATGTTTTGAGAATTTTATCTATTTAATATTTATAATTTATTCTTCTATATTAAGGCTAACTATAAATTACTGGGTTATTTACATCATCAGTTTAATAGCATGTATTTTTTTCTTGTTTTTGGCCATTGTTGCACTAGTTCCACTCTATGCATCATCTCAAAATTCTAATACATCGGTCAGATCTCGTGATTGTAAGTTAAAATCTATTATAATTACCATTATTTTATCTTAATTGTTTATTATAGATCAATATTCAATCGCATTTACTGCTATTTATTTTCTTCCAAACAATAAACACGATCATATTATCAAGGGAACTATAGAAGATATAAATTTAATCTCTAAAGAAGTAATTATATTTAATATACTTTTAATATTTTCTAAATATTAATTTTATTTTAGTATCAAAAACGTATTTATTCTTCAATTCATCATGATCTAAAATATCGATCCATGAAAATTTTAAACGAACTAAATGAAGATGACTACTTCGAGAATGCTGATAAATGTGGTAAAACACTTAATACACGTGGAATAATTTTTAAAATTGGTCTTGAAGTAACATATCCAACTGATATCAAATGTCAATTACCAGAATGTGTACAACATTTCTTTTCAATAATCCGTAAAGAACTTCAACGTATGAACACATTACCAGTTCAACATAAGAATATACTAGAAATTCAACTTAATCTATGTACAGTTGAAAATTATTAGCGTTAATTTATACAATAAACAAAATAGCTGTTATTAATGTTTATATTATTTATTGTTATCAACGAGTGGCTTTTAAAGTAAACCCAGAACATATACATATAAATTTATTTATGTTTTTTTTATAAATGTTATAAAATATAATTTGTTAATAAAAATAATATTTATATGCAAAAATTATTTCATAATTATCTTAAAATTAAACGATTGATCATGATACAAGATTTATCTATAGCGTTAGATTCCAGTTTGATATGATTATTGTTTTTTTACGGGTACAAAAATTCAGAGGACTCACAAAAACATTTTATGGAGAATAAGAGAATAAAAGACACTGTTTTCATCATTCTATTGAGTAGACGCTCCGTTATGTGAAAATAACGAGACGTCTACTCAATTAAATGATCAAACGGTGACAAGTATACATATTGACAAGTAACCATATCTATCGATGTCTATTACTCAAGGTTTCATCTATGTAATACGCACAATAAAGGTAAAAGATTATAATGTATAACTTATCATAACAAATATGTAGACAAAAAAAAATAGTTTTCATCAAAATAAAAGACTTGAGAATACAATGTGTTTAAGTTCTTCCCAACTGATTTTCAAATATAATAGTTGAATTATAATTGTGTGCTGAAAAAAATCTTAGTCATACTTAATAAAAAATAAAATATTTTGTTTTTATGCATCTAGTATTTATAATGTCAATAGATATGTATGTATATTTAAGTACCCAATGAAGGTCAACGGTAATTTTTCATTCGAATATTTGATAGTTATCGTTGCACGTCTGTGGGTTAATTATCTACATGCGTTATATCACGTTGTTTTGTAACGATAATTAGATGAAGTTTATCAATGGATATTAACAAAAATGACAAAGATTTTCTGTCACAGAAAATTTCAGAATAAAACAACCTATTTTTTTATACAAATATTAGAGAAATTTTCTTTTTTCATCTAGTTGTAAATCATCTCAATATGAATTTATGAACACTTCTTTATCGTTGAATATGAATGTTGCTATCACTACTAATGTAGTAACATCTAATATTTATCAATTCATATAGCTATCAATAATAGCGAAACCAACAAATATGATCAAGATTTTTTTCGTAATAAAGATTACTTTTATTCAATAAAAAATATCCTTGGTTTATAATACTACACAAATTAATATAGAATATATATATCTTTTGAGATTATAAATGTTCATATCTGCAATGAATACAATAATGAAAACCATGTACAATAGATTACTCTGAATGTAATCATGATAAATGAATCGATCATGAATAAAAATCTAAAAGTAATAGGAATCATTATGTACATATATTAAAATAATTGAAGATCTTTATTGATCAATTTGGAAAAGAATAGCATCCAGAATTAGTTATAGGACGATATACATTCATTTATTCTATGCTTAACTATTTTTTTACATGTTAAAAGCTAACATCATCATGAAAATGATCTTTTAAGGTACATGTGTAGAATAGGAGCACTATCTATCTATCTATCTATATATATATATGTGTGTACACAATAAAAAAAACACAAAAGTCTTGAAAATCTTTCAAATATATAACATTATGTATAGATTTTTGTGCTGATCATTTTGGTAAAACCTTTTTCTAATTTCATCAACAAATGATGATATTGCGATCAAAATACTGAAGAGTATCGGGTTGCTAAACGGCTTCATAGCAGTTTTAGAACATTTCGTATTTTCACTCTAGTACTATAATTATTTGATGAAATTAGAAATAGGTTTTACCAAAATGATCAGCACAAAAATCTCTACAAAATGTTATATATTTAAAAGATTTTCGAGACTTTTATGTTTTTTTTATTGTGTACACATATATATATATATATAGATAGATAGTGTTCCTATTCTACACATGTACCGAAATATTTATTGTCGTCTCTCATACAATAGAATCTTATAAGATTTAATACGCTGTCAAAATCTAAAAGAAATCAAAGTGACAGATTTCACATTTACCTGTAGAATGCAATCAAGTTGCAATAGTAAGAATCTCAATGTAATCTCCTTGTTCGAAATCTTATATTGAAACACTATACCGAGTCTAACGATTTGTATGAAACTATAAGAGAAGGATATCGATTATTCTCCGCTACATATCTTAACAATATTTTCCAACTTAAAATACTTTCACTTCGGTTTATCTTTCGACACATCAGAACAGCTATCCTTTGGCAATTCACCTCCAAATATTTTTTCATCAACTTTAGCAGAATTGCATGTAACTCTGAACAATTTCACTGATTGTCTTTATTTACTTGATGAACGCTTTAATCAACTTCATACACTGCGTGTTTATACTGTAAACCATAACTTTATACATGTAATTATTAGTAATAAGGTAAATTATTCTTATTAATATTATTTATTCAAATAAAATCATTATTATCTAGGATAAACTACCAAATTTAAAACATTTTTCGTTGAATCATGGATTCGATACATATTTATATGATAAATTAATTGTACCACTTCTACAACGAATGATTAATTTAGAAGAGTTAAATTTATATCTTATAATCTCTCATAAACAAACAATAGTTGATGGTATAGATTTGAAGAAAAATATTCTCAATTATATGTCTCAACTGAAGAAATTTTCATTTAGCATTAGTTCAGAAGTTCATCTTGGTAATGAAATTAATTTACCATCAAATGATGATATTCAAAACACATTCAAAGATTTTAAAGATAATGAAATAATTTCTTATGTTGATAATTTCCCAATGAGTAACAAAATTGGCTGTCGTATGTATTCATATCCATATAGATGGACCAAGTACGAGAGAATTACGAATAATTTGCCTTGTAAATCTTTTCCATATGTTCGTAAAATATCATTAATCGATAGACAGCCATTCGAACATGAATTTTTCTTCGAATTAGTCAAGCATTTCCAAATGTGAAGAAGTTAAGATTAGAAAATGAACAACCTCAAAAGAAGAAAAATCATGGCGATTCTTCAATAACCACATACTTTCATTTAACTGAACTTCATCTACTTTTCGCTCATGATGATTATATTGAAGAATTTCTAACTGATTCGAAGACATATTTACCCAACACTGTTGACCTTATTGTCGAATATAAAGCAATACAAAGGTTAACAGAAAATTTTACAAGAAGTACAACACAAATCAATTGTTCTAAATTAATTCGTTTATATCTATATGAAGATGATGATCAAATAATTTTAGATGATATGGAACATTATTTTCCTCGTGCAAAAATATTTCGTGATTCATAATTATCCAATGTAATATTGTTTTTTTTCAAATGTTCCATCTAAAATTTATTTAATTTTCTGTTAATAAAAAAAATATAATAATAATAATAATAAATAAATACTTATTCACGTTTATCATGAATTGCTTTATTTAATGATTTAAGTTCAAGATAAATCCATTTATCTCGATCATCCTTTCATGTAAATTGATTTTCACAACCATATTGAACAAGTAATTCTTTACGTTTTTCTTCAGTAAAATCACATCTAAATTATATATTAAAATAATAATAAATTTATGATTTCTTTTATATAAATATATACTGTGCTGCTTTTTGTTCTTCTTGTCGTCGTATAATATCATAATTAGGAATAACTTTTGTTCAATAACGTGATGCTAAACGTAATGAACTGAAACAAGAACTTGCTAAATATGATAAATTCATTACTGAAACTGAACAAAAGTTATTCCTGATTATGATATTATACGACGACAAGAAAGACAAAAAACATCACAGTATATATTTATATAAAAGAAATCATAAATTTATTATTATTTTAATATATAATTTAGACGTGATCTTACAGAAGAAAAAACGTAAAGAATTATTTGTTCAATATGGTTGTGAAAATCAGTTTACATGAGAAGATGATCGAGATAAATGGATTCGTCTTGAACTTAAAGCATTAAATAAAGCAATTCATGATAAACGTGAACAAGTATATTTATTATTATTATTTTAAACAAAAAATGGTGGGTGTGGGTGGGAATAGAAAGAGTTCACACCCACACCCTAGTCGATAACTCTTTCGCGTGGTTCATAATCCAGATCGAACAATCCGACACGGAAACGGCCGGTTCCATAGTATTCCGGAGATTTCATGGAAACAGTATGTTTCCTGTGGGCGTCGACCGGAAATTCATAGAAGACTGTCTCAGGAATCATTGACCTGGGTATGATTCTGTAGAAACCTTTGAGCATCCAGGAACTCTCTAAAATTTATTTTTTCGATAATTAATTAATCAATCAGAATCTTAACTTACTTGTGTTCATTGAAGATTTGGTTAAAAATCAACTGTTTGTAATACGACGGATCATTGTTAAACTAAAATTAAATATAAAAACTTTTCAAGTATTGTTAAAGTAACTTACTTTAAATTTGAAATCCACTTTTTCGTTATCGAATGTATATTTGACTAACACCTTCTCGTCTATTTTGGAATATTTTATTTCCAAAACTCCTTATCGAGGAACTTGAACGTGGATATACTATTCTTTCCGATAAACTTAATGAACATGAAAAACAAACTGATGGTACAAAATTTTGTCTTTTATGTATATATATCGAATTTATATGTTGTTCATTGTTTAGCTGAAGTTTTTGTATTGTTGATTCGTTCGAGTTCAATTCGCCTATTTTATTATATTGAGTATCGTTTTTCTGATTGAGTCCAATAAAATGTTCGCTTGAATGAGGCTGCTAAAATTTGATTTTACAGAATTTATTAAACAATGAAAGTCTTATCTTACTTTTGATTTATTTCTTTTTTATAGTCTAATTGTTTTCGACGAGCAGGAACGTCTTTGTACTAAAATTAAACTACAAATATTTCTTAAAACTTATTACAATGACTCACTTTAAAGTTGATAAATAGTGAGTGTTCGTTGAATTGAAAATTTACGATCATATTATGTTCAATATTTCCATATTTTATGCTTAAGTTACCGCCAGCATAATTCTTGAACTTCTGGATCTCCAGCTCCTCTTTTAAAACGTATCCTTTGCTTCTTAAAGCTACATGACCAGCAAGAAATATATCATATTCTTGACTATCAATTTTGTTTTTGTAGTCCTTAATTAAACTTAATAACTGTGCCACGCGATTCATAATCCAGATCGAACAATCCGACACGTAAACGGCCGGTTGCGTGCTGTTCCGGAGATCTCATGGAAACAGTATGTTTCCTGTGGGCTTCAGCCAGGAATTCATGTAAGACTGCTTCAGAAATCATTGACATGGGTATGGTTCTGTAGAAACCTTTGAGCATTGATGAACTCTCTAAAATTTATTTTTTACATAATTAATTAATCAATGAATCAAAATCTTAACTTTCTTCTTTTGATCAAACACTTCGTTAAACACCATTTGTTTTGATTGCAATGAACCTTTGCCATACTAAAACTAAATCATAAAAATCTTACAAAAATATCATTAAAATAAGTTACTGTCAATTGTAAAATCGCTGTTATTTCATTAAAAGTAATTTTGACACACATTTCTTTATGAATTGACGTATACTTTAGAATTATATTTCCTCCTTCATAATTCTGAAATGCTTTGATTTCGCTGTATTGTGTCAGGGCAAAATTACGACTAATAAGAGCAGTAATGAGCGACCAAGACTAAATTGTGTTGTTTTACTTTAATTTTTTCTTTGTAAGCACTCATCAGATTCTTTCATTGTGGAACGCGATGCATATCCAAATATGTTTAAAAATTAAGTGATAACATGTAAAGAACACGTGAAATCGGATGTAACCATAGAAAATTCAAAGAAAGAAGACGAGATTTGTCGATAGTACACAAAGAAGTGAAGAATAAACATTATATATATGCCTAGATTCTATAATTTAAAAAATTGACCTAAAGCTTTTGTTCGATTTTTCTGAAAAAAAAGCATATTCATTCAAAAATTAGGACTTGGATATTAAATGTCGATATTTATTCTCACTTAATTTGCAGTTGAGAACTTTATATTTGAGATTTAGTAGTCTTACTGGAATTTACTTTATTGGAATCTTTTAAACATTTCGAAAAGTATGATAACTATTTTTGATACTTATTATTCAACAATTAGCAGAAATCTATTATAGGGTATGGGTGTGGGTGGGAATAGAAAGAGTTCATACCCATACCCGCACCCATACCCTCAAGATTAATGATACTCTTTTTCAATAAAAGTCTTTGTAATGTCTGAATCGATTGTTACGTGATTTGTCCACATATCATGTCAGATCTGTTAAAGGAAAGAATTGCAGTTAAATTGAACATCAAAATTACAGAATTTAATGTCCCGAGACAATCTTTAAAATTTCTTCAACTTATATTTAGAAACATAATTTTCTTATAAAAAATAAAGAAAAGCTTTTAAAAATGAAGTTACGAGTGAAAGCAATTTAATCATCTTAATACCATAATAACAAGTTCTTAGAAGGATAAAACATGCATGAGTTGAGATATAACTGAAAGATAATTAAAAATCCAAAATCTTTTAGCCTAAAGTCTATTTACGTCATTCGTTGTATTCATTACTTGAAGTATTTTTATTTAATAAGAAGAAAAAAAGATTTGTATATATATTTTTCTCTTGCGATGCCTGTTTTTATTTTAACACTAACATGTATACAGAGCAAAAAAATGTTAAAAATAGAATCTAGTTTAAAATTTTTTTTAATTAATGTTTTTTTAGGTTTACGTAAAACGTCACGAATAGATTTCCGAATTTGTTTAAACAGTAAGTCAGGCTCTTTGAAGTCACTAAAATTAAGTTTTAATTAAGTAACGGTTTAATAAAAAAATTTCCTTACTAGTTTGAATCGTAGACATCTTTATATTGCATTTGTTTGCTTACTTTAAAAGTTCCATACTGAAATTAAATAAAAAATTTTTAGAAATATTATTTTTAATTAAGTGACTTTAAATCTGATAACCACTTTTATGTTATCAAATTCGACAAATCTTCTACGCGATTCGTAATCCAGGTGCAGCAATCCGACACGGAAACGGTCGGTTCCGTGCTCTTCCGAAGATTTCGTGAAATACTGCTTCAGAAATCATCGGTCTGAGTAATGGTTGATATGATTCCGTAGAAACTTTATCTGACGTTGTTTCGGATGTTGTTTGAGATTGATGAGTAGTATCATAGATGGTTTTTCTGATACTCTCTATTAAATGGCGCAGATCAATGAACTCTCTAAAATTTATTTTTTCGATAATTAATCAATCAATGAAAGTCTTATCTTACTCATCATTAAAAACTTGATCATACGCTAATTGTTTTCGATGAAGTCCAAGTTCTTTATACTAAAATTAAAGTATAAATATTTCTTAAAACTTATTACAATGACTCACAATAAATGTAATAACCAGTGCGTGCTCGTTGAATTGAAAATTTACGACCATGTTATCTTCAATAGTTCCACATTTTATGTTTATATTCCCGTCAGCATAATTTTTGTATTTGTCGATCTCTTGCCCTACTTTTAAAATAAATCCTTTGCTTCTTAAAGCTACGTGACATGCAAGAAATAAATAGTAGTTTTTACTATTAAACTTGTTTTTGTATAAGTTTATCAAATCATTTAATTCATCAATTCTTTGCATCGCTGAAGACGTCTAGAAAAAAATTATATATTTATTTTGTTTATTTGAAGTGTCGACTGATCTCCTTTTCTCTCTTTAAAGCTTCTATGCTTATATTCGATTGCGTCATGTTGTTTACATGTTATCACGTTATTTTGGATGTAGGGAAAACAAAAAAATAACTGAAATTTTCTTTATCCTTTTCTATCTTGAGGGTATGGATATGGGTACGGGTGTGTAATGGATAGGGAACCCACACCAACATCCCGATTTTGAACGAAATTAGCACCAGGTGTATCTAAACAAGTCAAAAACGTTTTAATGATTAAATAAAATTCTTCAAACTAACCATTGACAACCAATTGTTCAAATGCTTGATGAATATTCAAGATGTCAAATTCGGCTTTTTTCGGTGTATATATGACTTCATCGTCGACTTTACTTTCAATTCCAACGCATATATAAACCTTTTCGTCATTTCCATTTCCTAGCACAAAGATGAAAATTGATTGAGCTAAGTGGTAAATATCTTGAACCAACAATAAATGAGTTTTATCTGCCGATCTTCCACCGCAAACCTTCATCTTTTTCTTAGTCAAAAACACGTCGCGACACTTGAATGTTTTATAACGATAACGAATCTGACCATCTGAAATGAAATTTGAATTATTTCGATTATAAAAAAGACTAATTGAAATAAAAAGAGCAAACATCCAGACAGTTTGGCATCTGGATGAACGAAAACGATAGATATAGTAAATTAATTATACTGCAATAGAGACATCTATTGATTTAAAATGAAAATCGAATATAATGCCTCAATTTTCTTTATTTTTATTTGCAGTTAGATTATATGGATAGGTAATAGTTGAAATAAATTCTCTTGCTCTTCTTTTGCTTTCAAAATCATTTTGTTCATCTTATAAGAATCTTTTTATCCTTTTATAAATAAAAAAAACTTTTTAAACAAAACTTTATTTCATCTTTAATAGTTGGTCAACACTTTGCTCAGCATAAATGCGACTCCAATGTTTTAACGATTGAGTTTAACGGAAAAAAAATTATCCACTATTTTTTGATAATCATTTGGCGGTTCACTCAATTGATTACTACTGTAAAATAGTGTTTCCAATAGCAGGTGTACAGAACCCTTCAATTGGATCACGTAATTTTTGAATATCTTCAAAAAAAAAGAATAACTTTTTGTCTTCTAGATTTAAACAAAAAGAAATTATTTGTCTTATATAGGGTACTTGAATACTGCACATAATTCTCCTAAAATACTTTTAACAGCGTTTTGTTTTATAGATTTTCGTGCAATATGACTTCTAATGAACATAACTCTAGTAGTACATGGATGTATACTGTTGCAAGCTTTTTTCATCAGTTTCGTCATAATAATTTCCATATATCTATCAAACATTAATATGATGTTTGACAAAGAGTGTAACAGAAAAATAATTCGATTAAAGAATTGTACTGCTCTTTCTACCTTTATTCAATGAACAAATGTCGCCTATATACATCGGCAAACTGTAGTAATGATGTAGACAGAAGCAAACAAAAATTTGGAAAGAATAATAATAAAATGAATTTGGACTGTTGGCTTCTGTTTTGCTCGTTCTTTCGATAATATTACAAAAAAAATTGTTTGTTTGGTTCTTTTTCTTACAGTGTACAATATTATTTTCAAACGTAACTAGATGCAGTTTACCCTTGAGCAACAACAAAAACACACAAACATTCGAAGTCGCCGAAAAATCGAGAAAAAACAAGTCACTACCTATATAAAGAAGAACGGTGATCCTTTGTTTCATTCAAACAACAAAATCTACTAACAAGTTCACCTTCAATAATAAATTACCACAAGATCAGAATGAGCGGGTCGAAATCAAATCAAAATGCTGCTGCATCATCCAAATTAGCATCAGCATCAAGTATTCGCCAACCACGACAACGTATGGCACAAAACCACCTTCTCATATGGTTAGATGCCAACATCGACGAAGGAAAAAAAGATTACCAAGACACACTCACTCAATTGAAGAATGTGATCAATGATGTCAACATATGCACGCAACCGGATCAGTGCGTCCAAGTACTCCACCAATTTGATCATGAAAAAGCCTTTCTTCTAATATCAGGCTCATTAGGTCAACATTTGGTTCCTGAAATTCATGACATGCCACATGTAGATGCTATTTACATCTTCTGTGGCGACAAACCCATACATGAGGAGTGGACTCAAAACTGGACAAAACTCAAAGGTGTCCACACAAGCATCAAAGAAATATGTCAAGCATTACAATTAGCGGTTAAAGAATGCTATCAAGACACAATCGCCGTAAGTTTTCTTACGACAAATGAAATGACGTCAACTAAGATTTTAAATCAGTTGGCGCCAACTTTTATGTACACACAGCTATTCAAGGAAGTTCTCCTTTCTATCAAATACGACCCCAAGGCAATCAAGGACATGGCAGCCTGTTGTCGCGAAGTTTTTACTGGCAATCCAATTGAACTACAACTGATTAATGAATTCGAGTGTGATTATCGTCCACAAAAAGCAATATGGTGGTATACACGTGAGTGTTTTACCTATAAAATGCTTAATCAAGCACTTCGACTGATGGATGCCGATATAATGATTAATATGGGCTTCTTTCTATGTGATGTACATCAACAAATTCAACATTTGTATGAACAACAGATCAGTATTTATGGTACAGAACCATTTGTAGTTTATCGAGGACAAGGCCTTATAAAACCAGACTTTGAAAAACTTCAGAAAACAAAATGTGGACTTATGTCATTTAACAATTTTTTATCCACCAGTAAAAATGAAAACGTGTCCCTTGAATTCGCTCGACGTGCTTCAACAAAAACGGATATGGTGGGCATTCTTTTTATAATGTCCATTGATCCTTGTATCAAATCAACACCATTTGCTGCCATCAAGGAGGAGAGTTTTTTTAAGAAAGAAGAAGAAATCCTCTTCTCAATGCACACTGTCTTTCGAATAAGTGCGATTAAACAAATGGACAATAATAATCAACTTTATCAAGTTGAGTTACAATTAACATCGGATGATGATCAACAACTACGATTACTTACTGATCGGATACGAGACGAAGCTGGTGGTCATACAGGATGGCAACGATTGGGTAAATTATTAATTAAAATTGGTCATTTTAATAAAGCTGAAGAACTTTATAGCGTATTACTTGAACAGACATCTGATGAGGGCGAGAAAGCGCATTATTATGTATGCCTGGGATATATCAAAGATGATCAGGGTGATTATGGAAAGGCTATTTGGTATTACGAACAAGGACTTAAAATTCAAGAAAATACTCTTCCTCCAAATCATTCTCAGTTGGCTACTTCATACAACAACATTGGTAGAGTGTATACCAACATGGGAGAGTATTCGAAAGCACTTTCATTCGACAAAAAAGCACTTGAAATCTTTCTAAGAACTCTTCCTTCGGATCATCCTAGTTTAGCTACTTCATATAACAACGTCGGTAATGTGTACGAGAACATGAGAGAGTACTCGAAAGCACTTTCGTTATACAAAAAAGCACTTGAAATTCAAGTAAAAACTCTTCCTTCAAATCATCCTAATTTGGCTAATTTATACAACAACATCGGTAATGTGTATGAAAAGATGGGAGAATACCTGAAAGCACTTTCATCACAAGAGAAAGCACTTGAAATCCGAGAAAAGACTCTTCCTGCAAATCACCCTGATTTGGCTACTTCATACAACAACATCGGTAATGTATATACCCAAACAGGACAGTACTCGAAAGCACTCTCATTATACGAAAAAGACCTTGAAATTTCTCAAAAAATTCTTCCTTCAAATCATCCTGATTTGGCTACTTCATACAACAACATCGGCTGGGTTTATAGAAATATGAAAGACTATTCGAAAGCACTACCATATTTTGAACGTGCGCTAGACATCAGACAATGTGCATTACCTCCAACTCATCCTCATATCAAAAGTGTGAAAGACAGTATTAAAACTGTAAAAAAGAAATTATAAAGAATAGTTCATAAATATATAAAAGAAGATTGTGTTCACTTATTTTTGAAGTACGTCTATTTTTTAGTGCTTCATGCGAGTGTATAGAGAACAGCTCTGTAAATAATAATAACGTAATGGACAAAGCCGACTGATAAGGTAATACACATACATATGTATCTGTATAAATGACCTTCTCAGACATATTTACGTTTCTAATTCTTTACGAGAGTGTTCCCTGTAATAAGAAAAAGAAAAAAATACTACTTTAAATAGTGCTTATGAAAAAGAAGAATCTAAAAGGGTGTGGGTGTTAATTACCATTAAATATAGTGCGTACATTCACAACTACCCACACCACACCCATACCCATACCCATGCATTTATTTATCCATTATTGTCACTTGATGAAAGAGATGAATGTAAAACAACAAGTGTACTGCACATATTTATGTCATTTGATAGACATTCTTATGGATAAAGAATGATAATGTTTCATTCATTAGTTCTTTTATTCTTCTAAAAAATCTATTATCACAAGTCTAGAGAATCTTTTAGTATCACTATTCCAAAGAAAGCTATATCATATCTCATTAGGAAAATAAAGAAAATTCTTTTGTTATGTTTTATTCAATATAAGTATTAAAATGAAAGTATTTTATGTTAAAAAAAAGAATTTAATTGATCAAGCATGAAATACACATAATCGAATCATCATTGAGTAAATGTAATTAAAAACGTTGGATAAGCGACACGATTTTCGAATACAATGTAGACTTTACTTCCACCTGTTTCCCCTGATACACTGCTGTAACGTGTGCCACCTGATATACTTTCATTTTTCTTCGGAGCTCGGCGTAATGTTGGATCATTTTTGTTTTTATAATCAAAAACATCTCCTGTTAATACTTGAGCAAGAAATACTTGGCGTTTACCGTCAGCCAGTCCATAAGAATAACTTTGACAGGAATATGAAGCATTCATTGCAAAATATGTGCCGAGACCCCATAAACCACTTGTACAATAGGACATATCAAAACCATATTCACCATTATAAATTTCACTAGGCAGTGTCGCGCGAGTGCCATGAAATAATTCCAATTCAATTTGTAAATCAGGTTTATCACTTAATTCTTGCCGAAGAGTTCGACGACGAAATGCATAATAATTCCATAATCTTAAATTTTGTACTCTTTCGATCTTATCAATTTTCACATTGCTGATTGTCTCTTTCATTCGATTTTCGATACGAATAAAATCAGGATGATTTTTAGGCAATTCAACTAATTTACATTGTTCTTCTTGTTCGCCCCATTCGTTGGGTATATTTAATTCATTGTCTTTATCAACTTCCATCCTCAAAATATCTTGTACATATAAAGAAATTTGTAATTTTGCTTGTAATACATTTTGTTGTAAACCATTCAATTTCAATGATAAATTTCCAGTAGAATCTTGTCTAAAATCAACCTTAATGGATTGTTGAATTGCAATATTATTAATTGCTGTCTTATGACCATCAATATCTTCGCTTAGATTTATGGAGAAAGGTTCCGAAACAGTAGCAGATTCAATGGCTTTTTTAATCGCTTTCTCTGCTTGTACCACTTCTTCATTCGTAATACCGGTAATATTCCAGTCGTCTTCTATAGATTGGACATTTAAATGATATGTATCCAATGGTTTGGGTTTATATGCGACAGATGTAGTTTGTGGTTGTACTGGTAATGGATAACGAATAATATCTCGTTGAAAATGAGTACGTTCATTCTTTTGGTATCCACATACGAGGCGATTATCTAGTGCAGATGGATTGATTGTTAATACTTGACTTAAATTAGGAAGAAAATGTATACTATAGCGTATAATATTACCAATTTTTAAACTATCGCAATCAAGTTTCAATGTCGATGGAACAGAAGTCTGCAAATATTGTTGTAATACGTCTTCAATTTGACGCATATGATTGTCATCATAATTTTTTTCGCCATTATCATCTAGCCAACACCATCGGGCTGTTAGCAGAGGTAAATTACAATTCGTAATATCGTCATCATTGTTTGCATCTGCATTTGTGTGATCATGTACAACTTCACGTGCAAATGAACTACATGCTGCATCATCAATGTCTAATAATATTATTTTTCTCAAATTTGATTGCGGAAAATCAGCAAAGAATTGTTTAATTGCACGGATCATAATATTTGTACAATCTTGTAATGGAAAACCGTATGTAGCAGCACTGATGGCTGGTAATGCTACGCTATTATAACCTTCTTGTTCAGCAAGCCGTAAACTGGACAAGACACTGGAAAATAACAACGGACGTTCTTGTTGATTACCATCAGTATATTGAGGACCAATGGCATGGATAACAGCTTTATAAGGGAGACTACCAGCTGTTGTTTTAACTGCAGTACCAGTAGATATTGGTAGATTTCTATTTTTAGCGATTAATTCTTTACATTCTTGATCAAGCGCAGGACCAGCAGCATCAGAAATCGCTTTGTCTACACCTCCTGCATGATACAGAGGTCCATTTGCAGCATTTACAATGGCATCAACATCTTTGATCTTAGTAATATCACCTTTCTTAATAAGAATTGTTTGACCACGACTATTTCCAACACATGTTATAATCGAACTCAGCTGATCATTTACATCTAATTTTGAAACTTTAGCATCTCTACTAACAATTCGAATACTAGTGTTTGTTTCTTTTTCAATACGCTTAAGAACTCGATATGAATCAGCTCGAATTAATTCTGATTCGATCGATAGTATTGTCAAACGATTTATAACAATTTTTTGTTTTATATCATTAATGATCGTATTGATTTTGTCTTGAACTGAGTTGATAACTTCAGAACGACCATGAAGCGTTAGTCCATTTCGATCTTTTGAGTTAATATAAACTAGTTTTGTTTTGACTCCGTCAAGTAGAGGTTGAATAGCTTGATAAACAATACGACGAATGTTCAACGGAATAGGAATAGTTACTGAAATACGAGCGATTCGATTTAGCTTTCCTGCAGCTAAATTCTGCAAAGTTTCTTGTATTTCATCTGCGATAATTTTTGATCGTGCAGGAATAATAATGGTGTTAGTTTTATTTTCAAGATGTATTTTTGTATCCCATTCTTGTTGAAATTGATGAATACTCGGTTGTTTTTCTACTAATAATGCGTTATTTAGGATACGATATTCAGCCAAAGATGGTTTCCATGCAATATATCCTTCAACGAAATCTTTACATTGTTGAATGACGTCATCTGCTATTTCTTCATTTAAAGCAACCAATGTAATAGTAACTTTCGGTGTTGTTTGACTCCTTTCGATGGGTAAGTCATAGAACTTTACGAATCCGACTGCTTCATAATCATCTGAATCTCGAATTTTCGTCAAGACTTTTACGATATTTTGGGATATACTGTTTGAAATATCCCATGAGTCACATGGAAAATCTTTTTCTTGTTCTGATAAATTTCCCAGATAATTTTGAACTTCTGTTTGTGCTAAATTAATACGTACGACAGGACCAATCAGTTTTAAACAACAATTGTCTTTATCATATCCATCCGTATTATGAACGTGCTTAGATAGAGAAAAACGTATGATCTTAATATTGTGAATATTTTGCAGTCTGTCTATATCAGAAGATGCTTTTTTTTTAAGAAAAAATGCCATAGTATTTGAAATAGGAATTTGTACTTCAGTTTGAACTACATCATTGAGATAATTTTTGATTTTAAATACTGCATTACGTACGTCTGATTTAAATCCACTTACTCTCACATTCCACATACCTCTTGTGTAATGTATGAACATGTGTATGAAAGGATTTTTTGCCGAATGAAGAAGATAAAATGTAATTTCTTTAGATTGTACTTTAATTGGCATGTAGTTTTTCATAGGTTTACCATGCTGTTGTTGTTTTAAAATAAATCTTACTTCTTCTTCTGTGAGTGTCCATGATTCTCTGCAGAAAGAGTAACTTTGTAATTCTACTATAGCGTTAGATAGAGAAACTTCAGAATCACTGCACAATGTTATTTCAACACGTTGTTCAGCACGATCACGAATATTATCCGTATTAAAATAATCAGTCGAAGAATGTGATGACAACCGTATATCAGAATCTGAAAGCTGACTAGTCTTATCATTATCGTCATCAGCATCATTATTGTCTTCTTCTTCTTGATTTGTTTCATCTTCATATTCTTTATTTTTGGCATTGTATCGTTCTCTTCTGTTACCTTGTTCGAGATCATCAATATTTTTTTTATTTGTATTTTCATGAAATCTTCTTCCTTCACTTTGACCACGGTTACAGTTGCCTCTTCGATCGTCTCCGCGTCGCCAAGCCGGGTCAAAACTCACATCACGACTAGTACTATTTGGTTTAAAGCCATGCAGATCACTACCAGCACGATGTCTTTGCCGTCTATAAGAAGAATCCCTGATCTGGCTATTGTTACCGTTATTTTTCTTATGTAATCTTGCGTCTTTGAAAGAAGTTCCTACATGATGTCTTTTTGAAAAATCTTTCCAGAGTCGTCCGTTACAATTTAATTCCAGATGTTGTTTCATTCCATGAGTAATTGACACCTTTTTTTCATGAAGTGTTTTTTCAAGATAAGATTTTATTTTTGTAATTGGAACATTATTTCCAGATAATTTTAATTTGCCATCTACGATACTTGCGTTATTAATACCTGATTCTTTTTCAATTGTATTTAGTATTTTTTGGCCAAAATTTACCAGGAAATCATTTTTGGCTATGCTCAATTCAATCGTATCCCATAACTTTGGTTCAACGGGGCTGCCACTTGAACTACGTGGATCATCTTTAGGGTAGTTTCCTTTTTCCTTGATTGATATACCAAGCAATTCACGAATTTTATTTCGAATTTGTACTTTCGAAGCGTTAACGGCTGGTTTCTTTCCGTTAATGATTATCATTCCGTGAGTCTCATTCATGATAATGATGACATGTTGCGAATCTTTTATTTTCTTAACAAATTCTTGAAACTCTGAGTTTTGCATCACGTTTATATTAACATCGAACGTTATTGTTTCCGTCGATTGCGACATTATAGGAGATAAATGATTTGTATTAGAGCTTGCCATTAAACTTGATTAATCTATAAAGAAAATATAATCCTTGAAAACTTTAAGAGACGACTTATGAAAGGCTCGAGTCCGGCACATCCCTATAATTAAATAGGAATATTCTAGGGTGTCTGTGTGGGTGTGAGTGGATATGGGTGTGGGTGAGGGTATAGAGGGTGTGGGTTTGGGTGTGAGTGTCAGCATGGATGGGTGATTGATAGTGTGGGTGCATGTGTTTCCACTCTCTACATCTCATACTCACACCCACACCCTAGCCCTTTCTTCAGGTAGATCCTATATAATCAAGTAGACCGTGGGGACCCTAGTAGACTTTAGTAGATCCTAGTGAACCCTGGAGACCCTAGTAGACATAGGCTGGCCACCAGAGGGCAATTGGTGGCAATTGCCGTTCCCAAAAAAAATTAAATATAATATTTATTTTTGTATATACTCAAGAATTATTGAATGAAAAAGAACTTCAGGATTTAACAAAGTATTATTCAACTAGTTGTTATGGTTTAAAAGCTGAACAACGGCTTTACCAAACTAAGATAACGATCAGAAGATGAATTTATCAGACGCAACTAAATTCATTCTGGAAAACAATTTCCACGTAGCATTATCATTTATGAGCGAATTGTATAAAATTCCTGGGACTAAACTAGTGAATTCGTATGAATGTGAACTAAGTTTCTCGTCGTCAAGAAGATTAAAAACTTATTTAAGAAATAGTATTGGACAAGAAAGATTGTCAGGAGTTACCCTTTTGAATATTGAAAAAGATTTTGAAATAATATAAATAAAATAGTAATAGATTTTGTTGCGAAGAAAGATGAAAGAAGAATGATTTTCAAAAGAAATGTTTTTTAACTGATATGTTTTTTATGGTCGTAGAAAGTGACCCAAATTGGCGTCAGCCAAAGTGGAGTCCATTAGTTCATATTTTATCTATCTTTTATATATGAATAATTTCAAGAATAAAGCCAGATCTCGAGCTGGTATCTGACCTTGATTGTTTACGTGTTCTTTTTCTGGACTAGTTCTTTCGGTTGCTACTTAGCTATAATTAATTAAAAATTAACGAGAAACTAATTACAAATAGTTTTCAATCAAATGGCAAAAAAATTCAAGATTTTCAAGTCGACTCCATCATTCCCAGCAGTAATGAACTAGCTTTAATAAGCAACTTCTGAATGCTCCTTTTAGTTTTCCCGGTATATTTAGGGATGATTCTCGCAACTGTTTGTAGGCTATACGAAGATTTTCGGTATGCTTCTCATGACATATCTGTAAATAACCCTTATAACTTCTTGAGACCCGTTTAAAATTGAAGTCTAGATTTAGTACAGTCTTGTGTTTTAGTCTTAACTAAATCGGACAGTATAAGAGAATTGCCTCGAATACTAAGCAACTTTTTACATACTTTTATCTGTATTTTATCCTCTGCAGAGAAATTGATCATACCTGATAGAGGTAGTGCAGTAAAGTCCTATTACAATTTCTGTTAAGCTAATTCTTGATTTTGCTAAATAAATATCATGTCGGAGTGATTTTAAAGAATAAGTCTTTAGTTAATGACAGACATAATCAAGATTTAATTAGTGAGAAAAATAACGTGTGCGAGAGAAAGGTAAAAGAATACTTTATGTGTAGTATAATGGCTAAGAGTGTCTGCATGCCACTCAATTATTCATTGATTCAACTACTCGAGTATTTTACTTTTCACGTATTTAACGAAGTATTCAACCATTCATCTGTTCAACCTTTCTGTTGCCGTTCCACTCAACGTAGACTTTAATTATGGAAGTATTTGATTACCTAACTTTCCATTGATCACATTTGCAAAGGTTTAGTGTGGTTATTAGAATTTGAAACTAATATCATTGTCTGAAAAGCTTTAGTTGTGGTTACTTATTATGACTATAAAAGTATTCCTTTCACCGTTACGCTACGAGATGCAACCGAGAGATTATTGTCTTCATACTCTTTCTTACGCTGAATCTTAAGCTTCGTACTGTACTTAATGTAGTGAAGTACATTATTTCCTTGATACTGACGCAAAGGTATATGACGGTACGATTGTTTGGCTCCCCCTTATTGTCACGACTAGTTGCAAACTCTACTGAATTGATAATTACTCGAATTCATGATCGATCATTACATCTATCCACCGAAAGACAAAATAATAACGCCACGCTTACTACTTACTACTAAGTTATGAAATAATTTTCTTCTCTTCGTACGAGAGTCACGATACTTTTTTCTGACAAAGAAAATATAACGATGGCAGCAAAAAATATTCGTGCGATAATGAGAACGTAAGAACGATGATAGACAGCTTTTTTGCGGGAAAGAGTCTGAGAATGAGAGTAAATACGCTACTTTTCTGGAAAAGAAAATGTAACAATGAGAGGAAAAAATATTCCTTTCAATATTGAGAATGTAAGAACGATGATAGACAAGTTTCCTTTTGCGTAAACGACTAAAGTAAAAAGAAAGAAGTTTCTTCAGAAAGAAGAGTATAGGAATGAAAGCAAGAAAATATATCTACCGATGAGAATGCAGAAATAATGACGGACGAGTTTTTTTTCCAGGAAAGAGTCTGAGAATGAGAGTAAATAAGTTTTTTTTCTGAGAAAAATGTAGCAATGAGAGGAAAAAATATTCCTTTCAATATTGAGAATATGAGAACGCTGATAGACAACTTTTTTCTGGAAAAAAAGTGTAACAATACAAAATAAAAAATAATTTTTTTAGAAGGTAGAATGTAAGAACGACAGTAGGTTGTGTTCTCAGAAAATGCCTGTATATTTTGCTCACTTCCTGCGACCAAAACCACAAGGAATCCTGGCAGAATCTTTATCAATTTCTTAAGGATATAGAACGGATATACTAACAAGGTGTCATAGCAAATACCACTCATTTTTTTAAATTGATTAGACTATTTGCGCCATACACATTTTGACATTGTCACGAAAAGCTGGATTCAAAAGAGTTTAATTTGAAGCACAATTTGCTTGATTCATCTTGTTACGATAGCTAGGGTGTTCATGCAGATTGTTTGAACTTATAAGAAATTAAAGACTCAAAATTGTCTGGATCGATTTTCTATGTCAGGTGAGCCACTTTTTTTCGCGTATATGTTCTCTCCTTCTTATGATTCTACCATATTCAGGTAGATCTTAAAAAACTACACATAGTACGTTCAGATAGACTTTGAAAAATTACAAGTAGTACACCCATGTAGACTTTGAAACATTATCGTGTTGGTGGAGAGAGAGCAGAAAGTAGGTTGGATGATGGTAAAATAAGGACTGTAGTATGATTAGCTAGTTTTTTCTCTATGAAGCGAGCCACATTTCTTTAGCTGACATGTTTGGCTCGCTTCCCATGACCGGTTTTTATTCACTTTATTGCCAGAGAGGAAAAAACCAAAGAAAGAGATTACATTAGAAAAAAGACAGCTTCGTTTGTAGCATGAATGTAGATAGTAGATACGTAATATTTTTATAACGTCGAAAAAACACTTTCTTTTAATCATATTAAGATATTAGAACGTATTGCCATACCTGTATTTGAGCCGCTGGCCCGCCACTGCCTATAGACTCTAGTTGAACTTAGAGACTCTAAAGAGCCTAGTACACCCCATAGGCCTTAGTATATCTTAATAGATCCCAATAGAACCCGAATTATTTTGAAATTCACTTTTTTCAATTATTATGTCATTTACTTCCGTCATTCAGTGCTTATATGTTACTTCATTTGATTAAGAAATAAACATTTGAGTATTCGAATATTTAGAGATTAGAGAATTCTAGGGTGAGTGTAAGTGAGGGTGTAGTGTGGATGTGAGTCTGAGATGAAGAGTAGGAACACTCACACCCACACCCTCAAGATGCGCACAACCTTCTGAGTATACAACACTTGTTTCGTACGTATGTCTTGTAATAAGTTTCATGGTTACATTTTAGATTTTCACTCATCTTACTGAGTCGTTCATTATTTGATTTGCATAGTAATACGCTTCGATATGGTCTCAAAACCTTCAAAAATGAAAGAAACCGGGGAAGCTGAGGACATTGTGACCTGTGGCATATGTCTTCGACATTTTGTTGATCCACGTTTATTACCTTGTATGCACACATATTGTTTTGGATGCTTACAAAGCGCAGCTTCGCGTACTAAAGGTGATTTCATCTGTCCTCTGGATAAAACTATACTTGAGCGAAATCAGATTAATTCATTACGAGTCAATTTTGCTATTCTTGAAATACTTCAGTCGCTACCAAGAGTGACATCAAGAAATTCACAGAATCCCAAGCCAAAACCGTACAATGATAGCAATGAGACTGAAAATACCAGTACTTCAGCTGAATTTGGTGATAATGAGGATCGACAAATATTTATCACTGATTTACCGGTAAATATGCCCGAACAACTTCTGTTCGATACATTATGGGATGAGTTTATAACTGTTGGTGATATCAAGGTAATCACAAGAAAAATTTCATCGAATATATTTTTAATTTCATTATTTCATGTCTAGATGGATCAACAAGCAAAACCATGTATTCATTTGTTTAAAAGAGTAGATAACAAATATCCATTGAATGGCACGGCAGCAATTACATTTCAAAAAGAAGAATCAGTAAAGAAAGCAATTGAAAAATACAACAGTGAGTACGAGTAGAAACCGGAATAGTAATCAACAGAACATATTATAATGTATATTTTAGGAATACGTGTACGGAGTTTAAATAATGCTCAAATTTTTGTTAGGAAAACAGAAGTGACAAATAAAAGATCATTCACGCCAACGCCGCCACCAGCACCATTACAATTACCGAAAAACTCAGGTAGTAAACATTCTCAAAAGACAAAAATAGTTATGATATCGATAACTAACGTTTAATTTCAACTCAAAAGATTCAGATTGGAATATTTTTCATTTAATAAACTTGATTGAGACTTCTCAGTTGTCAGGTTCTTTAGATATAACTAAAATTTTAGTTCGAATCTTGTAGGTCACACTTCACTGTTGAAGTATAGCCTAAATACCCAACCAATTTAGTATTTGAGGGTATGGATGTGGATGAAAGTAAGACGCACACCCACACCCTTGTGGCTGAGAATTAAAATAAATACAGTTCATCCGTTTACACTCTATTCATATGTTTCAGGACCAAGACCAAATACTACGTCCAAATCCACTGAAATAAAGATTTGGGTTCAATTTGAAGGATATCAGGCAACAAGAGTAACATTGGATTACACTTCCATCATTGATGATTTAATAGGAGTGGCACTCAACGGAGAAGGCCGCAGAAATGAATATCAAGCACATTATCGAAATGGGGAACTAGGGCCTGGAGAACGAATTCCATCGGATACGGAGAGTGATCATCCAGTTGTATTAAGAAAAATAATCATACGTCTGCCAGGAGATCCGAATCCAACCGGACCAAAACCGGTACGTAAATTTTCGAATGATTAATTACATGTTCTTAGTTTATTTGCTGAAAGCTCGTTTAAATATTAAAGTGAAAGACATAAGATTTACTGAAATATAGAAAAAATTATCCTTCTGATGCTTCATAAAACATAGATATTCTTGGAAACACACAGAGTTA